AACCCGCCTCGCCCACCACTGGCATGGCGACCAACACGGTTGTTGCCCCCAAGTAGATCGGTCTTGATTGAGGAAATGTGCTGTGCGTGCAACCGAACGGCGTGCGGCCTCTTCGAGATATTAGTAAAGTATGTACTTTTGTGGAGAATCCGCTCCCACCTACTGTGCAATACCGGGTAGTTGGCTTGCCCCAACAGAATTCAGCCCATCGTATTTGAAAGGCAAACTCTAAATTCATACAGGAGCCTGCGTACGACCTCGAGCGAGCTAACCCTCGGCGAGTGGGGTCCACCACGGGATGGATCTCTCCGTGCGCAGCTCACTCCCAACGACCAAGTGCTGGTGCCAACTCCCACGCATTCAGGCGTAGCACTACGTATGCGAAGTCTTTGAGTTAGTTTTTGCTAATTTGATTTCAACGCGAACACGTTTGATTGATTGATTGAACTCTAAATTCATATCTCGCCTGATCAAGACTCTGGTCGTGCGCCAATGCAGTCGAACGTGCCGCGTACGTAGACGCTGACGAAGCAAGCGAGCAAGCCTGGTGCCCTCGTAGGGGTTTATTGAACGTCGATGAGGTGTGGGATCTTGTGCCCTACGACGCGAGGTCGCTCATGCACACTGCCAGTCGAGGTTGGTCACATGTCCTCCAGAAAGAATGTATTACCCAAGAAAAAGAAGCTGTGTTCACACGATTTGTATCGTGTGAACACAGCTGTATTTATATGCCACTCGAATGGTTTAAATTGTCTTTAATGTGTTGTTGAAGTAGAACGTCGACTTCGTTGTCCTTTCCAATGTACACCATATACTTCTACTGGACTGTCGACTCGACGTGTGTTGCGAATGCAGCGGTGAGGCATCGCCGTTGTTGGATAGACAGCGTATGCATGGCGAGTATTATACTTGTTTCTGGTATGTACATGCACTTGCTCCTGTGGACGCGCTCAACGGTATGCTCGTCGCATCGGTCGGTTTTGGCGATGTTTCTCGCATTGGTGGTACGACGTGTAATCAATCACTCGGTGGTATTAATCCGACCACACGGGACAGGTGGTGCCATACCAGATGCCGCCTCCAATGATGGATGTCAAGTTTGTCATTTGCGCGTGATGCAGGTGTGTCGCCCACCATGCACCCTGCCCTTGAATTACACCCGACGGACGTGGATCTTTCGCAGCACTGCAAACGCACGCGCGGATGGTTCCAACGAAGACCATTTTGCGTCGTAGAGACGTCATTGTTTCTCAGTCCGTTCCAAGCCTCTTGTACATGGTGCGAGCCATATTGTACCCTGGTATCAATTTATGTACCCTTGCCTGGTATACAGTATCTCGTTGACTGCAGCGGAGACTGTGCTTCGTTCCATTGACGCCTCAAAGAAAAAACCTGATCAACGACACACGACCAACAAGCGGCACGGCTCGAACGGACACACAATCGGATGATCCGGGTCTGAGAATGACGCAAGATACAGTACTGTAGACACATGGATTTATTGCATGTTCAAAAACGAGTAGACATACGCTTGCAGCCGTGTTTGAAATTCATGGCACCGTGCACGGACGACACGCTCAACAGCATGGATCGTCGGCGGCGTCTCGAGCACTCTTGTGAGCTCGATCAAATCAATCGGACCATGGGACGACCGCGGGTGGTCCATGGAAAAATAGGCTTTGACGCACGTGGTATGGTCGGTCGCTTTCGCGATTGATAGCCTGCCACCATCAATTTGTAAATCCAAAAAACATGATTCAAGATCACAAAACCACCGTACCAGAGTTGACAGCCCGTCGTCCAGAGCGGTGCATCGATCGGTTGCATCTCGTCGTCCGTGATTGTCCGCAAAACAATCGTTGTTGCTTTGGAATCGCGCTTCGTAAAGCGGCCGTAAATGCAGTTGCCCACAAGCCACTGGGTCGGACTCAGCGCCGTGGCCTCCCGGGCGTACACAATGTCAACCTCGGGCGACGTGACCACCACCGACATGGTCGACGAGTGCACGGCATATGCGGCTTGGGCCATCACCCACGCGTCAACGATCGAGTCAATCGCGTGCGGCAGAAAGAGCTGAGCAGCTCCCACAAACCCGCCCGTCGGCTGCGCGCGGACAAATGAAGCATCCTCGTGGCCAAACGCGTCGGCGTGCGCGAACACCGTGTCGCGCTGGTGGTACATTTGCATCGCGAGCCACTTGACGGCAAAGTGGCGCGGCAGGACATCTCCACCAAAGAGGCATGGCGAACGCGACCAGTGGCTCGGCGATGTCTACACACGGAGCAACAAGTTTGAATTCAAAACCGATTGGTGCTCGTACCGGATCCAATGTGCGCTGACTCCACGCGTGCAAGAGCTCCAGGAACGCAGCGTGGTCATTTACGCGGCGCCAGAGCTGGCGATTGGTGTGGACGCACTGCAGCGTCTCGTCGGCCAGCGCGCGAACGACGTCGGCCCACGGCAGCAGCGTCGTCTGTCGCGTCTGGAGATGCAGCAGCTTCTCTTGGAGCGTGTGCATGTACTGCGTGAGGTACGCGTTCTCGGTCATGACAAGCTTGGGCGGCAGCGGCTTCTTGGTCGTCTCAGCTACCGTCATGCCCATGCTTTTGCGCAGTGCACGTTGTGAAATGAAGGCGATGGATTTTCTGCTGCGTGGATGTACGTCACGCTGGCGGCATGTTTCTTCCAGCCACCACGTGGCGCCTGGCGATCGTCTCATTGACCACGCTTGGCCACTGACGCTTGGCTGACTGGGTTCGCAGCAGATGGCGTCATTTGAGGCGCCGAATGGTCAACTTCACTAACGTTATCGTTTTTATCTATTGTAATAGACGACCCACTTCAACAACAACAACAACAACTAACGTTATCGTCCTTGGCATGCACAACTCTCGTCGACGTACTATCTGTCTCACAAAATTGAGACCGCTAAAGCCTACACGACAATAAAGAGCCCGCAATTTGCTTAAATGTTTGCAAAACCCCCGCCATTGAGGAATACGTGGATCTGACTGGCCTTAAAAGGAGGGTCAATGCAATGGTGTAAAGGGGTTGTGATTGGCTGGTTTGTGAGTTTGCGGGGGTTTTGCGAATTTAGAAGGCATATTGCGGGTTTTTGAGAAATACTGGTTTCCAGAAGATTGCAGAGTCATGCACGGCCACGTGGTTTGGGTGGTCATCCCACCGCCGCGAAAGATACATGAAGGAGCCGCCGCAATCACGGTCCAGGCCGAGCGGCATATCGCAGCCGAAACGGGCTGATGCTGCTCCTAACTGGGACCGTACTGTTGCTGTAGACTGTGCAAAATGCGCTGGAATAAAAGAGCAAGCGTGCCACTCTGTCGACGTGCTGTATGCACGCCGCAGCCAAAAGTACTGTACAAGGAACGTATCAAACCAGCGGGGGTGCGCATGATTACCGGGAAGTGGCCTGCCACCGGTGCCTCATGCACTGGAAGTTCCAGTGCATGAGGCTAACGGCCACCGTTCCAGTCTGGGACGTTAGCCAACTATCGGCGACAAGTTAGCATGCACCCAGAAGGAAAGATATATAGCTTAAAGTTGTAAACCGGATACCCGTCACGTCGCCACGAGGCCGTGACGGTGCAACGCCACGCTTTCTCATTCAATGCTTTCGTGTCTCAGTGGCCATGCTTGTCTGGTTGTCGTGTCGCGGCCACGGGCAACACGCGTCTTCGTGACTCGAGGTCACGGGTTCGATCCTCGACGTCGACAGACTTGATAAAAATAGCAACCTGAATACTACTACTCGTAAAGATCAATCTGCAAATGCTCATTGTTGGACTACTAATCGCAACGCCACATCCATGTACTCGAGTACCAGCGCTGGACATGGAGGGGCGACATACTCAAGGCGAGAGATCTTATGTCGCCAACGTTGATAGGTGACGTCATTTGTATGCCACACCACCACGTTTGGCCCTTGGACAGCGACGGCCCTTGGTGTATTGCTGTTGGAGTCTGGTCTCAATATTTTCGCAAGAGGCCACCACACCAATCGGCGGCGAGCTACTGGAGTCCTTTCAATAACGAATAATACATTTCAGACTTCCCAATAAAGCAGTCATCGACGGCTACTAGTACATGATAATCGCGTCCCCTGTGCCGATTAGTGTAGTGGGAGCACGAGTTGGTGGTAGTACCGAGATGGGCCAAGAGGCTCTATTCGAGTTCACCGGTACACTTCGACAAGAAAATGGCAACCAATCAAAAGTAGAAGAGCGTGTCGGGCGCCAGGCAGAGTTTGCATGCCCGCTTTATTATCTGTTACCTGGCACTCGCACCAGCTGATCCTCGCCATCAAAAAAGCCACCTTGGTCTCGGCACTACGCGGTCGACAACTTGTTGAGCGTCACTGGAACGACAATGTAGTCGAGACGGGGTGGTTCTTGTCGACTTCTTTTAGTCTCGTAGCGGTTTAGACACTGGATTTCCGCCAGGTAGATTCGGGTTCGCATCCCGGAGAGAGCCACTATCTGATTGATGTCGTGGAAAGTGAGGTTATCACACGGGGCTGTATCGTGGTGCCCACCGCTCCATTATCATGCGATCCCTGTCCCAATAGCTCTTGGAACCATCGATCGACCCAGATCCACAACAACAACGCCTCTACGAATGGGGGTTTTGCGACGCAGGTCGCTGAAACAATCTTTTCAAGAGCTGAGCTACGCTATCCCTCTCATGATTTCGGCGTCCAATAAGCAGTCCGCCACTCCCCCCCGAGGCCATGGTGGTAAGACCAGCGGCACGCCTTTTTCACACCTGTACTCCTATGTATCGAAATGAAGAGAGTACTTTCACAATGCCGAGCTTGCTCAGGGGGCAAAGGGCGTAATGCCTTCATTACTGCCATGACCTCGGGTGAGGTGAGGCGGGTTGCTTAGTAGGCGTCGAAACCTAGAATACTAGCTCAACGACAGCCTCGCAAGATATGCCGCTTCGTGAAAAGATCGTTTCGACTTGCTGCGCGCGCAAAACACCAAAACAAAACACGGTGGCCTTTCACCAAATGTCAAAATTGATTTCTTTGCACACTCAAACACCGTTGTATTAGCTCTGTAGTTGCTGCTCGAGGCGATTGCGCGCGATGACCGCCTCCAAAACGAGCTGCAAATGGGCGTCAAAGATCGCTCGCAGGTAGTCTTGCCGCGTATAAAACCGATGTTGTAGCCGCTGCAAAAGCACGGCCTTCTCGCACGACGCTGGTAGGTTGGTCCATTTCACAAAGTCTTGCAGCCGCACAAAGCCACGGGTCGTCGCAGGGTGGCCCATCACATAGACGCTTCGGACGCGCGTGCCGCCATCCAAAGGCTCGAGGATGTTCCTACACCACCCGATACCGTTAGTACAATGAAGGGCGGCTGCCGTCGCTGTACCATTGTTTGCTGTCGACGCTCCACTGGTCGGGGTCCAGCGGGTACATTTCATCATGCAAGAGAGAGCGCACGACAATGACCGACTGATTGAGTTCGTGGTACCGGCCGTACACGCTGTGGCCTAAAATGGCTTGGTGGTCGCGCCCGACGTCCTCGCGCGTGTACACAACGTCGTTCTCGTCACGTACTATCCAGTCGTCCAGTACAAACGAGCCCGACTGCTGGCAGTGGGCGAACGATCGCTCGGCGATCCAGTAGGCGGTCGACGCAGTCGCGAGGTCGCAGTCAAGTGTGCGCGTGCACACGCCTTGGATCTGAAAAAGGGTTTTCTCGCAGCTCACTTGGTACCGCGCGGATGGCTCGGGCGATTCCGAGTGGCTGAAGACATTGCCGACGCAGTGGTAGAGCTGGTCGGCGAGCCACTTGTAGCCAATGCGCCGGGTGCTATGTGGTCCGCGAAACAAGTAGGACTCGGACCAGCTCGGCTGGTGCGACGGCGTCTACAAGCGTTCGTTGGTACCACGGCGAGAGTTGAGAAAAGGCGGCAATACCGGCGCGGGCGCGGTCGCGTACACCCAGCGCTTGAGGACGCTCACGAGGAGGTCATGAGTCTCGAGTTGCTGGCGCAGCGAGCGGTGATCGCGAACTGCTTCAAGCATCTCTTCTTGGAGCGCGCGGGCGACGTCAGCCCATGAGAGAAGCATCGATCGGCGCGCGCGCAAGACCACGAGGCCGCGCTGGAGCTGGCGAGCATACGCCGCCAGCGCGTCCTTCTCCGAAACGCGGTCACCTCGCTCCATCTCGGTACAAAGATGGAATATACTGGCACAACAACTGGATACGTCGTCGTCGTCGTCACCCATAGGGTTGCTGGTGCGGTAATCGAACGTACCAGATGTTGACGTCGGTCGTACAGACACGGCTGCAACGGCTAATACAACACCGCACTCTGTGCGAATGCGAATGCCATCGTGTCCGTTTCTGCGTCTTTCCCGCAACGACGATGACGACGACGATGACGACGACGGTCGGTAGCTTGTCCTTTTGCACTGGATTTGTTGTCAGGCGTACTACGGCACTTGACCTTTTCGATTGCCATGGCCGATGACTCGCACCGGCGTGCCACGTGGTGGGCGGTTGCCTCGTCACAGCATCCGGCGTACTGCTCAAGTGCAAGCAGTAGTCTGTCATGGCCACCGCATCGCTCGATTGGCTCGTCGTCGCTCCTAGCTGCGTTGGATCTCAGCTGCGACATCAGCGCAAGTGGGGTCTTCGTAGTTTGCAGATCGTAGATGTCGTCGTCGTCGTCGTGCCGGAATGTGCGGCGGCTTACCCTCCGAGGACGGAGTGGCCGATGATCGGCCTAACTCATCGCCGTATCAAGTACGAGCGGAATTCGAGTGCCGCCACCCCAGCGCCGCGCGCTCTTGTTGTAGGTCGTCGACCAAGATCGACTCGAGCTCCGCACGAGTTGCTGTAGTGCCACTTGCACATCGCGATATTCTTTCGAGCTTGCGAATCAAAATCACGTGCACCCATTCGAGACATCTCACAAGACGCTCCCTGCTCCTTCTTTTTCTTTGATTGGCATCATGAGATGGCGCAACGTATCGGGTCATCGCCGACCAGCACACAGCGCCTCGTCAGGGACGACTGCGTGAACGATATTCCGGACATGCTTTATTTTAGCAAGCGAGTTGGATGGTGTCTAGAAGAGCTTGCCAGCGACGATGCCGGCAAACACGAGCGCGCCAAAGTACTTGTTGGACGCAAACCGCGTCTGGAGGTTGATCGGGTCGTCAAGCTTGGCCGTGTTGACTTGCCACGCGAGGTGGCCCGCGGCGGCCGCCAGCGCCCCGTAGAACGGAGCGCCCATGTCCACCATGTACCTAGATGCAATCAATGGCTATTTGGACACGCACCACAGCATCATCGAGATACGATTACCCCGAGAGGCCAAGACCAGCAATCGTGGCAACCGAGAACGCGTTCAGAATCGGCTGTGTCTTGTCGGCAAAGAGGAGCGCGGTCGACTTGACGCCAATGCGCATGTCGTCCGTCTTGTCCTGAAAGCAACCAAGAACAATATTGTCCTTTTCATATTCTCCACAAACGAGTGGGCACTACCTGATGCGCATACAGCGTATCGTACACAAGCGTCCACGAGACACCGGCCGCATAGAGTGGCAGCACGACGCTCCAGTCGCAGCTCCCGTGCACCGCCGCCCACCCAACGAGGGCGCCTAGCACGCGTCTGAGCGTGCCACGTCATGACGAGGCCATGTACCATAGTTGAAGGTGAGCCCGAGCATGGCTTGCGGCCAGTACGTCACCCGCTTCATGTACGGGTAGGCTGCCACGAACGCGAGCGACGACGCACCGAGGCCGATCGTGTACGGGTTGAGCTGCACGAGCACGCCGAGCCTAGACCATTATCCCCTCTGTTTTTTCTCTTATAAGAGAGCGCAAGGTGTACCCGGCGGACAATTGCAGTGCGAGGAAGCGCCAGGCTTGCGGGTACGTGAGTGCGCCCGACGCGAGCGGCCGCTGGTTCGTGCGCTCGACCTGCTTGTCAAAGTCCTTGTCCCACATGTCGTTGATCGTGCAGCCGGCGCCACGCATGATGAGCGCGCCTGCTGCGAAGAGCCCGAGCAGCTTTGGGTCCGGGAAGGCGCCCATGGGGGCAGCGAGCGCCGTGCTCCAAAACGTCGGCCACAGCAGCATGTACGTGCCTATCGTACATTGCAGAATAGAGCCACGCATTGTTGTCTACCTGCAGGGCGGTTCAGGCGCGCGAGCTGGATGTACGGCAGCATCCACTGCGGCGCGTGCTGCTCGGCCCACGTCTGCTTTTCAATGGCAAACTTGGCATCGGGTTTGTCGGTCGGCAACGGTGGCAGCGAGCTCATGCTTCGAAGCGCGAGTGGCAGTCGGTGCGGCGCCACCGAGCAAGGGCGATGGGCAGACGGGCGAAGCACACTGGCCGTAGCGATGGACCGGCGCGCCAAGAGAGCTGCCATGCTTCACGTTGGGGATTGATTGCGCGCAGTTTGCACCAGCACTCGTAACCGGATGTATTTCCGGATACAATGCAGACAGGCCGTCGGGAGTGGATAGACGCACGCAACGCGTTGTGGCCGAAGCTGTCTTGAGCACGGCATCCTGGAGGGACAGCACACAAATGTATGCGTGAGCAATGTCCTTGTTCGCTCGTCGAGAGGTTAATTCGACTTGTATATCTCGCAAACGCGCCGATGGGAGACATCGCCAACAGCAAATCGCTACTAGTTGGGTGTAATTAGAGAGTCGCCAATGGATCGACGGTCGCCTTCGCCTCTTGAGCAACACCCGAGACATTTCTACCGGTACGTTCAAGACAACTTGTTGTAGCAGTCTCTCCAAGGAATGTGCTACAATTTGTACGACCATCTACAATCTGAACCGAGTCGTGCTGAAGAGCGCGCATAAACCAATATAATTGACTAGTGTATATTTAGCAGTTTGGCGCCACTTCGCGAAACGACGCTGCCGCTGGCATGACACCGGCCACGCACCACGGGTCTGTCTATGGCGCGTTCGCCGAGCTCGTGACCAAAGATGATTGCGCAAAAGCGCCGGCTGCCAAGTACGACCTCGTGCTTCTCGCATCGAGCAACCTCGCCCTCTACGCCCGGCAGTCCAAAGCCTGCGCCTGCACGAGGACAGAGTTACTGCCGTGTCCGCACGTGGCATCGATCCACGACTATTCTCTCTTGGGCACGATTCCGCTCGATAGTCTTTGTACCATCTATCTGCCGTACGCCACGCGCGGCTCGGCCGTTGCGACGCGCCGCAGCGACCTCCTCCTGCACACGACCGACCAGACGAGTCTCTGGCTCGCGTTTCCGTACAACGCCGCACGCGGCGCCTTCTTGGACGCGCTGGTCGCTGCCATGGCGCCGCTAACCGTGCCGGTTGAGAGTCTCGATCTCGACGACGGGGAGAACGCGGCACTCGTCCCGCAGGCACGCCACGTCATCAACTTCACCTACCCCTCGTACGACTTTGCACCTTTTGGTCGATCCTGTGCGTTAAAGACTAAGAAACACGTCTTATAGGCCCAACAAGATGGCCGCATATGTCCCGCGGCGCCACGACGAGGCGAGAGACGGCGATGAGGGGTCGAGTGAGCCCGAGGTCGACCTTGACTTGTGCCATCGGCACGCGTCTGCGTACGAAGCGCAGATCATGACGCTCTACATGCAGCTGGACGCGAGCAACAGTGCCGCGCCGTCATCGACCGCCTCTATACTGCACACAGGGCTCCAAGTCGCGCTTGTGCAGCATCTCAAGCACGCATTGGAGCTGGAAGCTGCTTTGCAGTCGGCAAGTGCGGTGCAGCCCATGGCCGCATCCCTCCTCCTCATGGTGCTCGAGTTTGCGCTACGTCTCGAGCTCGTCGACGTGCAGATCGCGGCAACTTTAGCCTTAGCCGTTGTCAACACCAAGTTGAGTCGGTTCACGCAAGCCCACGCGCACGTCGAGACAGGGCTTCGGTGCGTGGACCCCTCGCCTCAATCCATGTCAACTTGAAATGAAAAATCTAGGCTTGGTATTGAGATTGAGCACCGAACGCTGCTGTTTGTCGCGTACCTCTGTCTCTGCGACCTTTATGTCGCGCAGCGCCACGCAGAGCGCGCGATTGAGTTTCTACACCGCGCCAAAGACTATGCGCTACCAGCCTGGAAGCTGAGCTTTCACGCCAACCTCCAAATCCTCCAGGCCATCCCGGTACACCCCGACGACGTCATTGCAGACGCACCGAGTGGAAAAAATGTGTAGCCGGTGCCCTTTTCCGAAAAGCTCGAAGCGTGGTGGGGTCTCTCGGACGAGCGCGCCAAATCGCGGTCCGAGGTCCGAACCCAATTTGGCGCCACGGTGCTCGAATCGCTGACCGTCGACCAGCTGCTGTTGGCGCTGCCACTTCGCAGTGTCCTCGTCAAAGGTATGTGCACAGAAGAATGTCTTGTCGATGCAAGACAGATCTACCTCGCGGTCTAGTCGACAAGCTCGTGCAGTATCGCGTTGGGTACGAAGACGACTGGACAGTGCGGGACCTCCTTCGGGCGGCGATCCAGCGCCACGAACGCGGTCAGTCGTCGTCCAAGTGCCTTGTTGGCTTTCGGGATCCATCGACCTCCAGCGACGACCGCGTCTTGCCACTGCACTTGCCACTGCGCCAATGCCGCCTCCACCTCGGCCTGGACGCGGTCATCGAGCCGCGCTCAACGCTGCACGTACGTACATCGTTCTCGCAGCTTCTACCCCATGTCATGCTCACCACGCGTCTAGGCGCCGACTGCCACCACGCCCAATGGATACATCTCGTGCTCGCTCTGCCAGCAATCGCTTTCGATCGACGCGGTCGAAGAGCACTCGCAAATCTGCTTTCAGCAGCGCCATCAATCGTCGTGGTCCGTGTAGACGCTCCTTGGTCGTCTTGACGCGTCGTGTGTTTTGAATGTCTTAAAGCGTCAATGTCACTGGCATCACCGAGAGGTCCTTGAGGTTCAGGAGCACAAAAGTGCCCGTGCTTGCAAACGATGGCACGCAGACCAGGCGCGTTCTCTGTTGCTGGGGACCTACGACCGCCAGTGACGACCTCGACGAGCACAGACTCGCGAGCGTACCGGTCACGAGCTTTGTCGCGAAGGACGGTTGGTTGCCTGCAAACAACACATGCGGACACGTATCAAGGACAAAGACGTCATCGCCCGGCGACGGGTAGCAGTCTACAGCGATGCGTACAACCACACGTAAGCGGAGTAACAAAAGGGTGGGGTACCCAGAATATCAGGCGCCGTCGGGGCCAAGTGCCGCCACAAAAGCAAGTGCTCCAGCGCCTCGATCGGCGTCTGCCCCAGCGAGCACTGCAGAACGCTGTCGACGGGCTGACCTGATGTGCCGACGAACGTGACGCCGTCGATCGACGAGGCATAGGGGTTCGGAACGAGCGAGCACGTCGCAAAACGCATGGCGTGGGGAAGCAGACACGCTGCGAGCGGCTGCTGCGGCAGCATGACGTTGCTGGGATCCCACGCACCCGGGAGGATGTCCACTGGCATCGTCGACGTGAGTGACGAGAGCACGAGGTCGAGTTGCTGCAGCGGTTTGACCTCGAGCTCGCTCGCACTCGTTTTCTAGGACATGTATCGGTCGACAGGGCAACCGGGACGAGGATGTATCGATGTACCTTGACCGGCTCGAGGAGCACGTCTCTCGCGGGCTTGCTC